GAATAAAAAACACTGTCGCTAGCACCTCTTAGGTGTTCTCGGCGCCAAAAAGTTATGTCTATATGGTAGACGTCCCCATGGATACAAATGAAGAGGAAAGGTGTTACATGGAAACAACTAGCACCGTTGGACAATCTTTTAGAGCCTACCGTACACAATGTATATAAAGAACGGGATGGTTCGTTGTTGTTTGGTCACAGTTATTTGACTGGTTTTGCTACGATTGAGTTTTGGACACGATTATATGTGGATAGTCATTCAGGATGGTTGGCATGTGATGTAAGTAATATTATTATGTGCTCATTACACACCACGCTTCTAATAACAATACTTACTTGACTGCAAAAAAATAATTGGCAACACATCATGATGTGGATCTCATTGTTGCTAGAGAGTAGAGTCGATGATGCTCAGTTCGATTGTGTCGTCAGCTTTCCACACTGATACATTTGATTGGAGTGACATAGATGGCAGATCCATTTACCTAGCTTGTGCAGAGTGTGATACGGTATAATTTTGTTTGGATTACATTACCTGAGTATTTATATACCAATTAATTATTTCTAACCTTTTTTGTAGCTTTACAACCCAATCAATATACCATATGCTCATTGGTTTTTGGGTGCTTTGGATTTAAAGTGCTCATTGGTTTTTAGGTGCTTTGGATTTGAAGTGCTCATTGGTTTTTAGGTGCTTTGGATTTGAAGACATTCAAAATAACTATATGCGATTACATTACCTGAGTATATATATACTCATTAATTATTTCTAACCTTTTTGTAGCTTTACATTCCAATCAATATACCACATGCTCATTGGGTTTTGGGTGCTTTGGATTTGAAGTCATTTAAAATGACTATATACGAAAGTCATTGGAAAGGCGGCTACTGTTCGAAAAATGAGGATTGGTTTATAGGTATGAGAGCTTGCATCCACAAACTGCTAGTGGAAGTTAACTACTGGGGTATTAATCAAACTGATTCAATCCCACTTAAGAGCTTCAAGATGACCCTCGAAAAGGCCCCAGACGTACCACAACAGACTGACAACATATGGGATTGTGTGGTGTTTTGTGTTGGTTCCTTGAGCCGTTGATCACAGGGAAATCGATTTATATAGAGGGTAAAACCGGTCCATGGGCTATGGGTTATAGAAAACGACTAGCAGAAATTTTTGGGGTACAAGGACAAAGATTATTTGAACATTGTATTTGTAATATTAACCAACAGGACAAAGATAATTTAAACATTGTATTTGTAATATTAACCAACAGACACATCCCTTTATTTAGTTTATGTATTTATTAGTTGTTTGTTGATTTTAATTGCATTTTATATTTTATAAAACCAAAATTTATACATTTTATCAAAACAAATCTTATACATTATATAAAACCAAAACGTATACTAAAAGAAAACCACATGTTACACGCATGATGAAAAAAAAACAAGTGAAATGTATTTCGGAACCATGGTCCGGAATCGTACTCCGGAATTCCGGAGACCTCTCAATTTCCAAAGAATTTGATTACTTTACGAAAAAAAAACATTGGGTCATTTTTGTAAAAAACATCATTTATAAGGGTTAGATTACTTAATTTCCCTTTTATATATTGTTATGCTAGAATTATTGTTCTATGGTTAGCCTATGTTACTTGGCCCTGTAATAGGCCTTGGCCTTTGTAGAGTTAAGATATATTTTTTGTATATAGTTTCAGAGCTTATTTGATTCTACTTTTTTTTACCTAGAAATCATCTTTTTTCTTATTGACTAATTTCCTCCCTCCCAAACACGTCGTCGACTCTTCTGTTTCCTTGCTTTTCCCGATATCCATTAGGGATGTCAATGGGGCGACGGGATTGCATTTCCCGCCCCGCCCCCAAAATTTCTAGCCTCCCCACCCCTGCCCCTGCACCCGAATTCCTGGATTACCCCCCGCCCCCGTTTCCCAGTGCCCGAGTGGTGTTGGGCTATCTTTTTATTGGGCTAAAAGAAGCTGTTTTTGGAATTAAAGAATATATTTTTTTTGGTTAAGAATAGTTATTTATAACATAATTTTATATGTTAAAAAACGAAAATGTTATAACATCTTAGAAACGTTATACTAACAACTTAAAAACATGATTTTTTGTTGAATTTTGGAAGCTCGCATCATTGCTATTATTTATTATATTTATATAATTATTATATATAAGTATATTAAATATATTAACGGGCCCCAGTTGGGGATTTGGGATAGGATTGCCCGTCCCCGTCCCCATCCCCGAATTAAAACGGGGGTTAACATTGCCTCCGCCCCCAATTTTTTTAACAAATATCCTACATATGGGATCAGGGCCCCACGGGTTCAGGGTCTCACAAAATCTTCATCCCCTAATTTTCATGACGGAAATACAACCTCGATTTAAAAAAAAATAAAGAAAAAAGTCTTTGGGGTTTACAAATATCAAATCTCACATTCCTCTTCTTCTTGATCTAGGCCGCCTTAACTATGGTGCGTGGAGAAAACTCTTCTCTGCGTGTATAAGATTTGATGTTACGTAACCTACAAAGAACTAGTTCCTAAACCTATTGACTCCATTGTCAAGCTTTAAATATATGGCACCACCTCTCAGTATCTTCTTCAGTTGGTGCTAAAGATGGATTTGTTGGCTTGTGAGGTTTGGATCGGTCTTGAAATACCTATTTCACGCCAACAATGATGGTGCAAAAGAAGGTTACCCACTTACATCTCTAACATGCCTTTTGGCATCTCAGATGTTTGGGGTCCCAACGGTTAATTAGTAGGGTTGATCCTGAGAAATTAAATGTTCTCAAAAACCCATGACCACTACTAGAAAAAGGTGGAGTTTCCTACAAAATTTTCCTAGGACCATAAATTTCTCGCTACTTCCTACTCATTACCGAGGAACTTCCGAGGAAAACATCTTTCTGGAATTTCCTTAGAATTTCCTCGGTAATAAATCGGAAATACCGAGAAATTCTTTGCCCTCAGAAGTCCCTCGGAAGTTCCTACGCTTTTCCTAGGAAATAAATATATATTTAACGTTCCTAGGTAGTTCCTCGGTAGTTTTTTTATTACCATTTATTATTATAAACAAATCATATCATTTTTTCAAATATGCCAAATAGCTTCACATTTACGTTAGAAGTGTGTCACTTAAGTGGTTCCTAGGAAGTTTCTCAGAACTTCCGAGGGATTTCTTAGGAAATTTTTGAACCAAGATCTCTCACCAAACATGTTAAACTTTTACTAATCGTCTTAGGAAGCCCCTCGAAAGTTCCTACACGATTCCTAGGAAATAAATATATATTTAAAGTTTCTAGGAAGTCCCTCAGAAGTTCCTACGTTTTTCCTAGGAAATAAATATATATTTAATGTTCCTAGGCAGTTCCTCGATAAATTTTTATTACAATTTTAATATTAAACAAATCATATTTTTTTAGTATGCCAAAGAGCTTCACATTTACGTTGGAGTGTTTCGCTTAAGTGGTTCCTAGGAAGTTCATCGGAAGTTCCTACGCTTTTCCTAGGAAACAAAGAATATTTCATTCTTATTATCATATTTTGTATAACTTTATTGCACATTATATAACTTTATCTTACAAAGTTACACATATTATACTAATACAAACCATACATATGTACACATACATATATATTTACACTAGCAAACAAATGTCTTGAGTAATGGGTTATGATGGTGTACACACATGTATGTATGTATATATTGCGTATAACTTGGTGAAATAAAAGTAGTTAATGCATAATGAAGTCGAAGAAAATATAGAACGAAAAAATATAGTTTGAGCATCAATAAATGAAAAACAAATGATGTCCCTAGGAAGTCTCTTGGAAATATGTAGGGAATACCGAGAGATTTCCTAGGCAACACAAAATTTTTCACTTATCCATTGGAAATGCGTAGGTACATCCGAGGGATTTCCTAGGACCAAAACTCGTTTTTTATTTTTTCAAGGTTTAAATGTTGTTTTTTTTTGTTTCATATTTTGTACAACTTTGTTATACATTAAATACTTTTATCTTACGAAGTTATATATATTATACACATATACATACATATAGATTTATAATGGTAAACGAATGTTTTGAGTAATGGGTTCTGATGGTGCGTATGCATGTATGTATGCATATATTGTGTATAACTTGGTAAAATAAAAGTAATTCATGTATAATGAAGTCAAACAAAATATAGAACGAAAAAAACATCGTTTGAACATCAAACAATGAAAAACAAATTATGTTCCTAGGAAATCGCTTGGAAATGAGTAGGAAATATCGAGGGATTTCCTACGTAATACAAAATTTGTCACTAATCCCTTAGAAATACGTAGGTATTTCCAAGGGATTTTCTAGGACCAAAACTTGCTTTTTTTTTTTCAGAGTTTAAATTGTTTTTTCGTTCCATATTTTATATAACTTTGTTATACATTAAAAACTTTTATCTTACTCAGTTAATTGTGATACATACATAGATATACTTACGTTTGCACATTCATAATTTATTACTCAAAACATTCAGTTTTATTCTATATATATATATTTGTGTATATAGATAATAAGTATAACTTGTTAAGCGAAAAATATTTTGTATATAACAGAGTGGTACAAAAATGAAAACTAAAAAAATGGCGTTTGAACCTTGAAAGATAAAAAAAGAAATTATGTTCCTAGGAATTCCCTCGGAAGTTCCTACGCATTTCCGAGGAAATTGAATATTATTCATTATTTTTCCAACTATTTTATTATTATTATTATATTATCTTTTTTAACATTATTAGAATTTTTAATATTATTATATTTTAATATATGTGTGTCAATGTATTAATGAAATCTTGTTAATAATAATAATATTATTATTATTATTAATATATATATATATTAAAGAAATGAAAGTTAGGAACAGTAAAGTTCTGTTGGCAGAAATGGCCCCTGTTTATGTGTTTGGTTGCAATTTATGGACTTATCAACATTCTCTCACTGTATGACTGTCTCAGATGCTTCTCGATTTTCTCCACCGCCTTATCTTCCTTCTCTAATGATATCTGTTTCTTTCTCTTCCTCTTGCTTTTCTGGATGGTTCCATCCACTGCCCTAGACGCCGTCATACAACACGGATGCGCCCTCCACCGCCCAGTGTTTGATCCCTCCACGGTTTGAGCCCTAATTTTTTTTTCTTTTTCTTTTTTGGGTTTGGAATGGAGATGGTGGCGATGGAGGATATTACTAGCTGGAACCTTAGAAGATGGAGATGGAGTCGGACACCGTAGACCTTGGCGAGTCTGCCTCTACCGCAACAGACGTTGGCAGGTCTTCCTCCACCACTGCAAACTTCACCTTCTCTCTTCTATTCTCTCTCTACACCGATGGTCCCTCTGCGGTTGTGGCATATCGACAGACTGGCGTTCGACGTACGGTTGAAGGTACCCATCGATGATGGGTTTGGGGCAAAACTTGTGAAACAGCCATCTGAATGTCATTGAGGGAGACAGGGTGACTTTTTATCGGTTCTCACTTCTAATCTGCTTAACCATTTGGTTAGTAAAAAAACCGAAATTTTGAATTTGTTTACTTACATTATTAATATGTTAAATTCTTACATTTTTTCTACTGCAAAACTAGACAGGTACTCTAAAAGAACCATCTAGAAGAAACTTTCCAGTTGAGTGGGCACATTCAACATCAACCATGGCAGATGCAAACGTAAGCCTATTAACTTGCACATTATCATCAATGCTTTTGTGTAAAGAGGAAGAAAATATACGGACCCTTAAAGAACAAATAGCAAAAGTATTTGAAATCTCACTAAAAGTCACCATCCCTGAGGAGGCAGAGGTGGTGGCTTTAATCGGTGCCTGTGCCAAAAAGGAATTTGGTGATTACCAATGGTATATAAATATAATTACAATATTTTTGGGAGCATCGTCATCATAACATCATTATCTTTTTTGCATATTTTTCTTGTACTAATTTACATATTTCATTTGGTAATAATAGCAACACTTCCATGAGCTTATGGGCTAAAATAAAAGGCAAGGGTACTGAGTTTAAAGGTCCATAACCAGTTGGACATGTAATATTGTTTTTTCGTTGCAAATACTAAATTAAACTATTCTTAGATACTTTTCCAATATTGTTAATATGATTTTTATTATATGTAGGAAATCATGCGAAATCTTCCAGCATCTGACATGATAGAATCATGCTCCATAGCTGGACCTGGTTTTATAAATGTTAAACTATCAAAGCAATGGATAGCTAAGGTAAATTCATCCTTGCTTACTTGCATTCCAATTTTCAACCTATTATCAATATTGCTTACTTCTTTTTTCTCACTTTTACGGTTTTACCCCTGTAGAGCATTCAAAAGATGCTGAAAGATGGTATTGATACATGGGCACCAAAGCTTGTAGTCAAAAGGGCAATTGTTGACTTTTGATCTCCCAGATAATGATCAACCCATTGGAGAGCTTGAGGTGAACAAATTTATTTACATATTCCTTTGTATATATATATCATATTTATGAGTGTTTTATCATTTGACTAAAAGTAACACTTTTCTTGATCTTATGATTGTGATAGGTGTTTTACCAGGCATCAAAGCAGAGATTTGATAGTGATCTTGAGTTCAAAGAGAGAGCTCAGAAGGCAGCAGTCAGTCTTTCAGGTCAATAACCAACTTTTTAGCATATTTTATATTTTTTATATAAAATAATAATAATAATAAATTAAAAAAATAGGGTGGTGAGGAAAAATTCCGAATAGCATGGGCACAAAAACTCATATCATCTTAACATGACATTTTTAATCTTTATGTATGAAATATTTAATTTTTGAGCTTTTGTTCTACTATTCGACAAACCTTGCTCAACAGGAACAATTTAGATTAGAAGAACAACAACGTGAAATATTTTATCAGCAACCTCTGACCCAATTTTGGAGTAGCCAAACGTAAGAAGGATCTGATTCATAATCAAACAATCCACAAACGCGGGGTTATTTAATTGTTTTCTTTAGTGATTTTCTTTATCAATTCCTAGAGATTTTTTTCATTTTTCGTCTTTTTTCTGTCTGATGCCATTGGGAGTTTACTTGCATGGAAGTTCGAGATGGTCTATGGCAGATGAGGTGACTTAAAGGAAAGAAAATTAATAAATAAGCTTGTGATACAGAAAAAATGTTTGATTTTGAACGTTTCAAATTCATATGATAATGATATAGAAATGATGTATTTCTTATTTCATACTTTTTGCTTCTTCATTGACAGGAGAATGAATTATCTTTGTACATATAAGGCAGGCCCGATTATCCAGTGAGATTTAAGACCAAAGTCAGTCATGTAATATCATTAAATTAATTTTTTTTTTGCTTTTTAGTTTATTAGTCATAAAAAGTTATGGTATTCTGATGTTTTTTTACTTCTCATCGATAGGGTTTTAATTGAAATGGCTGCATGAATTTCTATTCAAGCCATCTGCATATTAGACAAGATCCACTGTAGAGGGTATGCATTTTTTTATCATTATTTAAAAAATAGTTTGCCCATATTGAATTCGTTACGTCTACAAAGAACACAGGGCCTAGATGATTTGATGATGTTTCGTTGATAAAATAAACTTTTCTTTACTTTAACTACTTCTGGTGGCCACGACCAATGAATATGTTTTATTAATATTTACAAAAAAAAAAAGAAGTAGAATTTGATGTGTGACTGTTTGTGAAGATGTTACCTACACATCAGTTGAATTTGATGTGTGATTGTGTGATTGTTTGTGAAGATTTTATGCAAGAAGGTTCATTTGCTTAATGTGTACATCACATTGAAGGGCGTTTTCGTAATTTCGTTTTTTTTGCAGATACCTGCTCAAAGCTGACAATGAAGCGTCTGTGGGATCATGAAATTAAGGTGTACTTATTCCATTTAGTATTTTTCTTTCCGAATTCTCTTATGAAATATATTTGTTTTTAATAGGTAATAAAATAACAATGTACTTTTTGAAAGGTATAATCTACACAAGGGTAATTTGGTCAAGTATGTACTATAATTAGTAGTGCTAATTATGAATTATAGTAGTGGCTTTGATCGGTTAGTGTGAACAAGTATATTACTTTAGAATTTAAATGATAAGCCATTGGAGGTGAAGAAGGTGGTTAATAGGGAAAGTGAAAAACCACAAATTACATATGGCCCAAATTTTTTACAGTTTACTGGTGATGATAGTGAAGAAGATAGTGATTTTGATTATGATGATCATGAAAATTCATCATATAAGGTTTGTGTGTTGCTTCCACATTTTTGTTTAAAGGGTTCGATTGGAATTTTAAATCCATTACCAGGATTAAGTATGAGAACCAGATTACCAATATCTTCTAATAAAACTCCCTCTGAATCCTCATCTGCTAGCTCTCAGGTAATTATCTCTTTATAATTCTTTTCTAAATTAATATTACTATGATTAAGAATGTTGCATAAATTGGTTAAAAATTGAAACATTATTTCATAATCAAGCATTTATGGAATGAAATATGGTTGCATTTACATACTTTGATCTCAGTCACAATGTTTCCATATTTCATATCAAAAACCACTTTGTTGCTTAAATTTGTCAAAATATGAAACGTTGTTGCATAAAGAAAAAGAGCAGATCATTGGCCAAGCAAGAAAAAGAGCAGACCATCATAAAGAACGAGTCTAAAGAGGCTACCAATCAAAAGGACCGATCAGAGCCGTTGGATCGTCTGCTTTCAGATGATGATATCAATTCAAAAAATAAAAAAGTAAATTTACAAAAGAAAGGACTCATAAGCTTCAACGAATTACTAGCTGTTGAGAATGATCAACAATCCAGCCCTCAAAATCACATGGTTGAAAAGACTCTTTACATTGACACCATACATAAGGTGGAAATGGAAACTGCCAAATCTGATGAGGGTATTTTCGGAATTTCACATATTCCGAAACAGGATAAAGAAACTGGATTTTGTGAAGACCCGAAAGTTGACCGAGATTTAAAGGTTTCCCAACAAAGTGAATTGGAGTTACCCGCTCCGCCACCATTACCGAAATCGCCCTCGGATTCTTGGTTATGGCGGACATTGCCGTCTATGTCCTCAAAAAATCTATCTTTACGGGCAAATCCTAATCCTAAATATCCTACTTCCAACACAAGGGCAAAATTGGAAAATTTTCAATCACGAAATCCTTTTCAGTTAATTTATTTGGACAAGACGGAACTGGACTGAATTGGAAAGGAATGAAAAAACTTTCTACAATTTTTTGTATGACGAGATGAGGAGAGAGGGTATTCACATCTTTTTCATAGTTAAGAAATCAAAATTTTCACCTTTTTGGAAGACACAAAATTTTCAATGTTTGCATATATTTAAAAATTGCAACTTTTGTCGGAACGACATAGGACACACAGTTTAGTATATGTCAAACACAGTACAAACTCATGTTTAATGCACATTTTTAAAAATTATAATTTTTATCTTATTCACATCAGTCCAATCCTGTGTATATTGTCAAGTCTTGTCATGTGTAACAAATGCGTGCCTAAATGCATGTATTTTGTACTTTTTGTTAGGGACAATTACTTCCTATACCGGAAACTTAGCATTTTGAGTTAGTAGATTATAATATGAAGCAAAGAAGAAGCACTGGTGCACAAGGTTTGCGTATTGGTTTAGAGATGGTATGAATGTAATGAATGAGTTGGTTGTGATTATTTTTGATGGGCATATCATTATCATATTTTATATCATGTAATTAATAGCGAGGAATAAAGGAAAGTTGATTGGAGGTTTGTATATGGTAATATCAAGAGAGAAATGGAAAGTTGATTGGAGGTTTGTATATGGTAATATCAAGAGAGAAATGGTCTGTAAAGATGTTTTCATAATAAGAAAGGAGATGGGGTACCTTTAAGATAGAATGGGAAAAGGAGGACTTTATGCTTTTGTTTTGTTTCGTTCGTTTTAGTTGATGAAATTCATGTAATTCTTCTACTATCATGATTTATTGTTGCATTTCTACTCATCCTATTGATGGCAAATTACACAGAATAACAATGTACTTTACTATGGAAACTATTTGTCTTACAAAACGAACACCTTCCGTCACGCGCAACGCGCGTGGAACCACTCTAGTTATTATTATGAGAATATAAATAATGATAATAATAAGTTAATGATATAAATAAATTTAATATTAAATTTATAATAATAATTAGTAAAGATGACTTAAAGTGGGAAACTATTTTTTTTTTCATTTTTTCGTCGGTCCTCGGTAATGTGTCGGAACTTCCGAGGAAGTTCCGACGAAATTAATTAAATATAGTATTTTCATAAGCCCAAATTTAAATCTTTAGCCCATTTAAGCCCAGTAACTATTGTGCCCTATCTGTGTGTTGTGCGTGTCTTTCATTTGCAGCCAAAAGTAGACGCCACAAATTCCTCTTTCTTCTTCTTTGGCTCACGGTTAAAGATTGTTGATATGGCCGAAGGTGAAGCGTCTATTCGATTTTCAGCCGACGGTGGAGGGTGAAGGTTAAAGTAAGTTGTGTATGGTGGTTATGCGACGGTGATGACGGTGATGTTTTTAGCTGTGAAGACAACAACGGTGGTGTAAGTTGGGATCGATTGTGGTTCCGGTAGAGGTTAAGGATGGAGGTGGCTCGGTGTGGTGATGGCAGGAGGTTCGATGTTCGTTTTTGGTGGGGCAGGTAGCTGTGTGGGTGTAGTGGGAGATGGTCAGTGGTTGATGGTAGATGGTAGCTAGGCGGTGTTAGGGTGGTGATGTTTGTGGTATAATGGCGGTCCGGCTAGGTGGTTTGTTATGGTGGCTGGTATTTAGCAGGTTCATGGTTTTGGAAGCATCTTGCATGGATGATGTTTAAAGCAGGTGGAAGAAAAGATGATGAACAGGTAAGTTTTTTTTTTTAAAAAAAATAATTTAAACCTACTCTACTCTATTGCTGTTACACTCTGTAAACTATATCACATGTGTATATATCCATTGTTATGTATTTATGAATTCTACAATTAGTTATCAAGGTTACGTCTTTATGAATTCTACAATTATCTATCAAGGTTATGTCTTTAAATATCACCATGTGTTTGATAAAATGCCCGAATGACTGAACTAATCTGTTAATCTACTTGTTGGGTGATTATGTAATCTTTCTTGATAGTTTGATAAAATGCTAAGTAAAATGTCCAATTGAATGAGTATGAACTAACTACTTTTTTGGAAATCATGGATAAAAGTTCCTAAACTTTGGATTAGATTTTTAATTATACTAGTTTCTGTTAATAACTTTAGCATAGCCTATGTACTATAGTCTCAACCTTAAATTGAAAGAGCAGACATGGAACTTTAGATGATATCTGAAAACTTTCTCTTTTACCCAATGCTACCAAAGACAAGTCATAACAAGGAATGGAATCTTTGGATGATAACATGTGGAAGATTCACATTGTAAAAATTTCAACTAATTACTCGAGGTCATTGCTTATTTTCATTAGAGGCTTTACATTTACAGGTACAAAGACTTAGGAAATAATTGTTGGTAAATACATGTTGTGTGTTACAATAATAGATAAAAATGTTAATATATATTTTGTTTTACTATTTTTGTGTTTACTAATGTATGTATGTTTGTTTTAACATTTTTTTAGGTTAGGGAGTTGGACCATATATAGTTATCAAGAAATGACCCAAAGACGATGCGAAATGGCCAAAAGACAAGCACAAATAGTCGAATCATGAGACACAATAGTAATAACCATCCTGACAATCAGCCCAATCCACCAAATGCTCGTTATGTTATTTTAGTAAATATTTTTATGTTTTTCTAGATATTTTTATTATGTTTTGTGGTTTAGATGATTGTTAAAACTTGTTTTGTTATGTATAATTTTTAGATAGATTTATTGTTTTTGTGTATGAATTTCATATAGGATTTGGTCATTTGTATTTATTTATTTATTGATTTTTATTTTTATTTTTGTTTTGCATTTTGGCCAATAAAATTTTCAACTTTTTTAATTTTTTTTTTAAAGCTGCATATTTCCTAGGAATTGAAAATTCCTAGGAATCTTCTGTCACCAAAAGTGTCACAAAAAACTGTCAAAAAGATATGGTCCTAGGAAATTTCTCAGAAATATATTTTCTAGGAAATCCCTCGAAAATATATTTCCCAGGAAATCCCTCGGAAAAACATTTACTAAGAAATTCCTCGCAAATATATTTCCTAGGAAACTTCTCGGAGAAATATAGCCTTGGAAATGCCTCGGGACTTCCGGCAAAAAATATCTCCTTGGAAATGCCTTGGAAGTTTCCTCGGAAATCGCTCACAAAAAATTTCCTAGGAGGGTTTTAACGCACAACTTTTCCTCGGTATTTCCTCGGAAACACCGATTTCTTAGGAATTTCCGAGGAAAATGTCCCTCGGAAAATGCGTGTTTTTTTAGTAGTGGACGAGCCAGTAAAAAATGACATTTATCGTTATTATAAGATTTTATTTTTAAATAAAAATATATATAATATATAATAAAAAAATTAGGTCATCTATAGTTGTCAGTGGCCTTAGTACCCTTTGTAATTCTAATATATGATTATAATTTGTAACAAAAAAATTGATATTATGTTGAAAGGCAACCCTTCAACGTATTTATTATTTTTTTTTTTTGTAGACCAAAACATATCAAAAAATGGAAAATGTATTCTACATAATTTTATACACCGGTTGTGGTATTCTAAACCCATCAACTTTTATGAGACATTATTTTTCGGAGTTTAATTTATATTTTCAAAATTGGAGAAATGAATGTAAACAAAATGCTTTATATAATATATATATATTATATAGATATAGATATATATATATATATATATATATATAGGTTTGGTTCTATGAAAAACAAAAACCCTAAAAATCATTAAAATACATAAAAAAAATATTAGAGATCACAAAACTTTTTTTTTGAATTTTTTTATCAAAAAATCACAACTTCTAGGTCAAAATCGCTGAAAAAAAATTTTGAAATCTTTTTTTTTTTACAAAAAAAAATGATTTTTTATTTTATTTTAGCGAAAATGCTGCCAATTTTTGATAAAAAATTCAAAAAAAAGTTTTGTGATGTCTTGGTATTTTTTTTATGCATTTTTGTTTTTTTAGGTTTTTTTTGTTTTCCAAATAACCCTTCCCTATATATATATATATATATATATCTATATATATATATATATATATAATATATATATATATATATATATATATATATATATATATATAGTTAGGTTCATTTGTTTAAACTAAGTATTGTGTTATCGTATACATAAATGTGGGCCAATCAAATTAAAATAAAATTAATAATTAAATAAATAAAATAAGGGTAATTTAGTAGTTTGTTTAGTAACTTCCAAAATTAATCTCTATAATCATGGTATTGACCTAATCCCTCCAATTTAAATCATGGACTACAAAATCGATCTCTCCAATTCTGGTTTGTATATCGTCATTTTGACCAATCGGGCACAGGGGAAAGAATGGGACGAAAGCTGTGGGAGATCGATGACATAAATTGAGGGGCACCGGCCGACCGACTATCACCGGCGTTTTCTTTCTTTTTCTTTCTGGCCCGATCAGCAGGCCACACGAATGGGGAAGGCAAAGAAGATCGCTGATCTCCAAGGGGTTGTTTTTAGGTGGTTTAATCGACTGAATCGGATGGAGAGGAGGGTGAAGCGAGGGCAGCAAGATTAACGCCGACGAGATCTCCATCGGACCTTTGATTAACGTCAGCGAGATCTATCAGATTTTGCCTCTCGGTGGAGCTACTCTTGGTAGAGATGGTACCATGGTGATTCTTAGATTCTTCTTAAACAACAACTTTTTTTTTGATAAATTTTCCAAACGAAACTATCAATTACGAATTCAAAAGATCAATTTATTTGTTTGTAGCGATGGCATTACGAATTCCATGCTTGCCTAAAGAACATCCATGGTTTATTTATATTTACAGATATGGGTCCATAAGTAAAATTGATTGGCCCACAGTTATGAATACAATAACACAATAATTACTTGAATAGAATAACCTAGGCCTATATATATATATATATATATTATCATATATATCTATATATATATCTATATAATATATAATATATAATAAACGAAATAACATAAGAATTGAATTTTCAATTATAAAAATTAAAATACACTCTTTTTATTATA